ATCGACTATGAAAAATAAGTATATGTCGTTCAATAGTAGCCCAACAAAAGAGCATCATTTGTGTAACATAAAGACCCGAATCAATAAAACTCCAAATAGCACAAAAGAGAGGAGATCTATGCCATATACCATCATGTTGATAATAATAAAGTATCCATGGATAAAGTGTTACTTCAGATATAAGACCAATAATAAGATCAACAAGAATAACATGATTATTGAGAGCATTACGTGATGGACGATGAAATAGAAGATACGAGAGAACAATCAATGAACAAATAATAGATGGTATAAGAAAAATTAAATAAAGCCAAAATCCAACTGCTCTAGGTATGACATCATTGACAACACTTGTCGAACTATTAGTCTCATTAAATGTGTTGTTGTCGTTAATCATTTAAGAAATGAATGGATTAGAATAAATCTAAACTTGAAATAAAGGATAATATAGATAAGATATTTTCAAATATCGTTTCGATAATATCCCTAACAATAATGTCTATTTTCCACTTGTATATTAGAAGATGCTGTCCGTCTATTGAATAGTGCAAATAGATAATATAAAGATTTTTTAATGTATGAAACTAGCTTATATGATTATTGACAAATAAGTGAACATGTTAAATTTGATTATCAAACGAAGAAATAGTACTTGAAAAAAACTACAGATGAACTGTCGGAAAGAAAAACAAGCATAGAAACAATTTCTATCTTGCAAAACGGCCTTCTGACTTTTCATCTTGTTTATAAATTATTTCTTTCAAGCAGTCAGCACTAAACATCTGTTCTTCAATTTCTATTAAACTAGTTTATTTCAATTTTTTTCCAAATTTAAAAAGAAAACAAATGGCAGACGATAGAACAAAAATTGAAGAGGGAAACATACAGAAAAAAAGTATTACGTGTAGATATGAACAAAGAAGCTTATAAAAAAAAATAATCGTTTTTTTTATATATTATGAAGATTAGTAAAGACAGTAAATTAAAAATAAGGCATGAAAAAATTAGATGATTTGGTTCTAAGATAGTTCATACGACTTCATGTACCAAGTTCTCACTTCTTTGACAATAGATTATTCAAGAATATAAAGTACTAGAAATGCAAAATTAAAGAAGAAGCTTTTTTTTACTATTCTCTACGTATGGTTCGATAGAGTATGCCGAACTGATCATGCGTACGTGCATTTTCAATTTTCTAGAGTATTTTTCTTCGTGGAAAATGTTCAGTTTTTTAAATGAGCGGTTTCTTCCAAAAAAATCAACCAAATCAATTTTTGCGATAACCGACGTATCTTGAATCTTTTCATTTCCTTTAATTTTCAAAACTGTTTGTTCTCGATTGACCGTGAAATATTGCTTCTAAGACAACTCATTTATAAATATATTTTCTTAGAGATGCATATATTTCACGGTAGATCGGGAACAATACAGCTTTAAAATATAAAGGAAATAAAAAAAATTAAAACCTTGTCGGTTATCCGAACTTCATTTGGTTTTTTAGGAAAAAAGTTATCTGAAAAACTGAAATTTTTCCCTAGAAAAAAAAAGAAAAGAAAAAGTACTTCTGTTTTTATTTTTTATTTTCAGCACTTGATATTTTCACATAAGAAAATTTTTATGTAGTGACTAGAAAGTTTATATAGATTGTTCAGTGAAATTGATAAAATAATATGAATAAAAAGTCAATATTTCATTTTGAAATATTTGAGTGATGATTAAAATCTATTCTAATGAAAACTATTTTTTATCAATAACAGAAGTGAGAGGAATTATTTGTTTGTAAATTTGTTTTATTTGCTACTGTTGTGTAGACTATTACTCAGTCAAACTTTGGCAAGTATATATACTTCTTTGTGTACTACTTGTTAATGAGAATGTCTCTTTGATGTATTCTGTTTTCTTCAAACATATTTTAGCGTAGTTTTGTTAATTACTTAACATATAAAGAGTAATCTCGTCACTATGTGAGAGCAAAAAATACTTCACTGTTTTATTGATGTAACTTCGACTCTGTTGGAGTTAGAGTATGAGTATAGGTTTAAGAGTTTGATGCAGAGCTTTAATGTGATGATTTCTATTGAATTTAGCGTACCTGTTTGACATAGTTTCTTTCTGTTAACTTGTTGAGTGGCGAATACAACTGTTTTCTCATGTCAATGCTTTTATAACAGCTAAATGAATATTAGTGATAATCTTCTTAAAATATAAATAATGGCAGAAACTAATGCGTGGTTGTGAGATTAAATATTTCTTTTTTCTTGGAAATGTAATATAAATAATTAGAAAAAGACAGACAAACAAATTTGCATTGTACATCATATTTTTAAAAATTGTGTATTTTAAACTAGACCTAATAAACAACAACGATTAGTTTTTTCAACTCATATGAAATACTTAATTATGATACAATAGTAATTTTTATTGTTTTTGAGTAACATCGAAATTCTCAACTGTGGAACAGTTCCGATGTATGCATCATCTTCTTTTTTTTGTGTATTGTTAAATGTGATTGTCAAAGTTCTTTAAAACGATTAAGAGTAAAGAGAACGATATTATGAACATCAAAGAAAAAGCATTATTTTCATTTCTATGCCTATGCCTTTTTCATTACTGTATATGCACGAAGACTCCGAACATTTAACAAAAGAAAAGCTCTGATTAACACATTCTTTGTTCTTATCATGAAAAGAGCAATTATTTGGAAAGTCAAGGATTAATTTCACATTTGACTAAGATCAGCTACTCATTCAAAAAAACATTGTGCCTGTGAAACTTATTTTGTTGATAATGAAAAATCCTAATAGAAATATAAGGCAAGTCTTATAAGGCGTGATATTAATACAAGTCTGTATTCTTTATGCTTGTCTATTGAAATGAAAACAAAGACACCATGAGTACACTATTGCAGTCTTTTCAATTTGATTCTAAAGTGTGGAATGACATCAAAGGTCTGTCTTTGAGATGAAAAGCTAAATACATATGAAAATGGAGCAGTCATATGAGCAATAGTCATTATGAATAACTTCGAGATAATCAAGCTTCTTGTTGAACACAGACTTCAGTTAATTTTACAATAAACGCAATTGTCAAAAATGTTATCTCTTGAATAAATTAGAATATAACTTAAATCATTATAGTAAAAACGTCCTTTGTATACAAATATTCTTGAGTACGCTGAGGAGCTATCTGATATATAGAGTCTTTACTGCTGTAGCCTATTTCTTTTTTATCTATGAATGACGTTAATTAATCAATTTAGTTCCATAACAAGATTCGTTCAAATATGACTGATGGCGCATAGAGAATGAATCAGTTTTGTTTTGTTCGTTTGAGAATCATATAAAAATCAATGGTATAGGTAATCTAAAATGAACTGAAATCATTTAAATAGGAAGGATGAAACATAACGAGTTCACAATAAGTAGAATATTTTTCGCAGTATGTTGAGTTTAATGATAACTATAAGTAAACGTTACATTTATTGAGGTATCAAAGTCCGTTTAAGAACTATTGTCTATCTATTAATGCCGTTGAAAATATGCGCATGAATGTTGTGGTCTATAAAACTTATGGTAATTTTTTTCATAACAACGAACAATGAGAATATTTATATACTATGATACAATACGACTTATTGCTTAGCCAAGGTACATAGTACGAAAATACCGTGTTCTGCATATCTCTACTTCTTGCACCTATTTTTCTCATTTAGACACAGACACTCATAGAGATGAACCTTCTATACAATTAAATTCAATGCGATAAAGCCATTGATTTTTCTCTGACGTTGCGAAAAATCTTACTTGTGATCAAAAAGAAGACAGTGCCTACTATCTCGCTCAAGTTGCATGTAACAATCTAGTAATGCGTATTCAGTGTTTACCTAATGCATCTGTCTTTTCATGTATATCTAAAAGTTTCTTGTTAAGGAAGCGTTTACATTCACAATAGACGTGGCATGGTACGACTGTTTATCTATTTGTTTTTATTTCGAACTAATCTTACAAAGAGTCTATGAAGTTTTTTTGGAAAAGCAATCCCAATTATAGCATGATCTTTTTGTATGATATGTTGATTCAGAAGAATGAAGAAATGTAATTAGTGATAGTAATATATAGGAACATGATCACCAAGTCGAATCCGATATTGTTGGGTTCCGATGCTGAAGAAGTATATGATACACTGAAGTGTAGATCCCTAATCATTCGGTCAGAGATCGTATCATTTATTATTGTTTCATTGGTGTCAACTAAGAGATGGGTAGTATCAATCGAAAAGAATGGCGGTAAAGCAACGATTGGTAATCTGCGTAGATCATCAAAATTTTCGAATTTTAAACAAACTTCCAGGAAACAATTCCCACTAATGGTTCCCATAGCATAGGCACTATATCCATCTGGACATGCTTGATTGCGCGATTTGGTAGCTATATTTCCGTATTGACATGAAAAGATACCACCGTATCGAGGCAAAGTGTTTGTGTCCGATGTGATTCTTTCACCCAAACATACTTTGATACCATCGATGTCATATGCTACTGACAAACCTGGTGAACATCTGTAATCATTGGTGACTGGATTGACTTTTTTCATAGTGAACGAACCACCAAATACATATGTCGATCGGATGTCGATGGTGCTATGCAATCCTAACTGTTGACTGACATTTCGATCACACCCATAAAGATTGAGCTCGCGCCATCCTTGTCCTATATAAGTATTGTCACAGCACTTTTTCAACCAAAGAAAACCACATGCTCGACAATTTTGTGTGTATAACGATTCATATTCGATGGATGTATGTAAGAGATATTTATTGAAATCATATTTGCACTGATCGTTACCTGTATAGTAATTGTTCATTTGCAGGTTGGAACATTTTCTAAATAACATATAAATTCAAGTTTTTCCTCATCAGTAGAAACAATTCATTGCTTTTTCTATCATCGAAATGTAAATATATTCTATAAAAACTAGATAGTCAATGGACAGAGGATTGACTTACTGTGACATACGGGAATCTTCCAAACAAGTACGAATAAATCCTCCAAATTGTGTCGTTTGTTGAACTGAAACACAGGAACCGTCATCGAGATTGGCAATCCAATTGAACGATGGCGAATTTCGCTTCATACATCCTCGAATTGTATTCATTTCTACGTAAGTGTTAATTGCTTCATTAATTTCTTTTCGAACTTTGCTCAATGCCACGTCAGTCAATTCGGGAAGTTTGTCTGCTTGAATAAAGCATGTGAGATTTTCAATAGCTCGTCTAATGATAGCTGGATTTTTCTTCACTGATGTTTGCCATGCTTCCATATGATTACCTAAGATGAAGATGTCGCCACCTTTGGAACTTAATACCTTTCGATTGATCTTTGTTGTATATTCATTAATGGTGGTTAGATTATATCTTGAATCTGAACCGTAATTTGCTGAAAGACCAAAGGACCCCAAAAACGATGCTTCCGCTGCTGCTTTGTACATTCTCTTTTCTGATGTGTTGGAAGAGTAATTCGAATGAGATATAAAATCTTCTTCGATGATCGATCCACCCAAGTGTAGACGACTTGTATAATGTGTACCATAGTTTTTCACGAAAAGCTGAGCAAGATAGGTTGCCAGAAGATTTTCTTTATTCGCTTGATATTCAGCAATTTCAATCAGATCTTTTTTAACTTGTGGATGTAGAGGACAGGTAGACAAAAGAATGACGTCGACCATGAGATAGTCAATTTGGTTTCGTAATGTGATCGTCTTCTCTTGTCCTTGTTCTTTTTTTGTTTTTTGATACTCTTTCGAATAGGAGCCACCGATTTTAAAGCCTTCGAAACCTATATTACCTCCTATCATGAAATTCGACGAGTAATCACTGGTACGTGAATCGAATGTGTCGATTTCTGTTGATCCCATTTCAATTTTATTCTCGTTTAGAGGTATTATTTCAATACAGGACTGAACTACATCAGAGCCTTTTATATTCGACACTTCATAGATAGGTGCCAAATCGATGAATCGCAAATGATCCCAACCAAATCCAGGATAAATATCGACGTTCGATAGTTTCTCACCATCGCATCCGAACCATAGTAACAATAAAACTATGTAAGACATCTGCATCATTGTCAAATGATTGACTTTAACGTACGGCCAAGATCAAGCTTTTTTACCTAAAAAATGAAACTCATAAACATCAAATCTATTTCACAAACTATTTGACAGAGAATTGATCAAACCGAGTTTGATTTCGATAAATATTATACTTTCAAAACAGTGCCTAATAGTTCTGATACGCGTTTCTTACGTTGCGTCTCACTTTTCGAATTACAAAGCAACATATATGAAACTAATACAACTTAAATAGAGTAAATCGATATTAGTTTCTCAACAAATACATATATATATATAAATCAATAATTTGAGATCAACAGCTCATGTTCCTATATGTATATATAAAGTAACTATTGCAATCTGATAACATTAGTCTGCGGCTTTATCGATCGGTGTCCGATTTCGATGCACACATTGAAAAAGTTATGAAGGCAAGAGAGAAGAAAAGTAGTAGCTTATATTTCTTCTAGAAAATATTGATCTGCTGGTACTGATGAGTGGTAGTACAGAGACAAAATTTCATCTTTGCAAAAATAAAAAAAAATGAAGATAATAGAAAGTCATAGAATTGAAAGCAATCTCACACTCACAGACGTTCGTATCAGTATATACATGAATTCTGTCTGACTTATCCTAAACTAAACATGCTGATTCTTATTCATTCATAGACCTTATTTCTTCAATTAATCAATCAATTTGAGGGTGTTCATACATTTAGGGAATGCAGTTTACTATAATAATGACAAATATATGATGTTTTTGATTTTTTATTTCAGCTATTTCTCTCTTGTTTCGCATGCATGTCGAAGATAAAAGCGCTTCTATCAAGGCTCGAGAACAAAACCACAATTTTGAATTATTTTTTAATTGCTCATATTAGGAAACATAAAACTGCCACACAGTTAAAGTCTAAATCCATTACACTATTAATATACTATTTTGGTTTTAGACAAGAAAACCAAATTTAATAGATTCTGTATGTATTTACTCTATTTTTTATGTTTATTTTGCAAAAACTGGTTCTAATCTGATTTTTAGCACTTTTTTTTTGACACATGTGCTTTCGAAAAAAATCAACAATTTATCGGCTGGAAGTCAATAATATCTTGTAATTGTCAAACACAATTTTCGAGCCGTATTTTGTCGTCGCATCCTGTCATTGAATCTCAGGTCTGCAACGCAATCGAAAACGGCTAACATACCTGTACATTGTTTTCGAATTGATAAATTAATAAGAATTGCGCCGAAACCGATGCAGAATTTCGCTTCTGGAATTCGCTGTAAATCAACTTGATTCGGCTGCCTAGGTATTGTTTTTCAAGTTTCTCTGTCGGAGATAGCTCGTATGTCTTGACATGAGAAAGAAAGACAGTTTCAAAATGCCTAGCATACCCAGTAACTTTCGTTCACTGCACCTCTGTTTAAGTACTTCGATTGATCGAGTAGTCATATGTATGTATCGGAGAAAGATCTCTTAATTTTTAATTCTACGAATAACTGTTCTGCAAACAATTTATATCTCTTAAGGAAACATAATTGTGAAGTGCCTTAATTAAAAAGCCGATGTGTTGTTTCATATGAACATTTTCAATTTATTTGTTACTTTCTTCGAATGACGTCAAACTAGGAAGTGGATGAAAGAAATGATTATAATAATTTTTTAGAAGCAATAAATTATTTAATTTTATTATGATTATTATTGCTCAATTACAACATAAAAATGATCATGAACCAGTAACTTCTATTACAGACACATTTGATTCTTTTAAAGTAGCCTTTGTGACTTATGGATATGGGTGTGAACATGGGTAATGACATCGGCGTCGTATAGGCAAGCATGAAGAGTATACACGCCACACATATACTCTCACACCAGACCCATTCACATCCCCACCTAGACCTGACTTTTCTAATCTACTTGTATTTTCTTACCGCCGTCCCATTGTTTTAATAAAAAGTACTCACTTCTCTTATCAATTTCAGTTTTTTTTCAACCTTGGAGATAAGACGATTGAAAATAACATTCTCTCATTTTGATAAGACTGCTCGGAACTCTTGCAAACATTTTTTTGCCATCTTACTGGTATGTAAAAAGACTTTTAGTTTTTCTTTTAATTTTTTTCTAGTGCATAGAAACTTTTCCTTTGCTTTTACTATTCGTTGAAATGAATTTTTTATGTACTGTGTTTTTCGCAGAGGACTATGTCTTTTTAAGTATTATCTACTCCATTTAGAGATTCGGCATATTTCGTTTGATTTTCTTTCGCCTAGAATTTGCCTTCTTACCCATGGAACAAAAATACAATCGAAATCATGGTGGACTGGGTGTGGATGGGTGGGGTGAATGTGCGTATGTGTGTGGGTGTGTGGGTGTAGGTGTATATATGAGTATGGATATGGTTGTACTGTTCATGTGTGAGTAAAGACAAGATCCACACCGACAGCCTTCATCCACACCCACGCTCACCTGATATTCAGAATCAGTGCCCAAAACTGCGTCGGATGCTGTAGAGCACAACACGTTTTTCAACAACAACATTGTTTCGAAAATCTGAAGAAGAATCTCCCTCAGATGTTTCACGCCAAAATTCTTTTCTCAAAAATGCTTTGTTTTCGTGCAGTCTATTTTAAGAGTGATATACAGGGATAGAGTGTAAGAGTGTGAGTTTTTCAATATCTATATTTTGCTCGTCAACAGCTCACCTCCATTCACGCCCACACAATATCCATACTCGCATCATGTGCACATCTACACCCACACTCTTGTAAGAGAGCAAATTCAAAATCTAAGTGTAATGCGCTCGTGTATACAAATATCAGTGAATATGTTCTCATCGTTACAACACAAAACGCAAAGGAGAGTAAAAAGGAGGAAGAAAATGAAGGAGCGAAATACTTGTGATGACGAGCGCATTGATGAAAAAAACCTGTCTACCAGATGAAAATGTCATGCTCCATTGATTTAGTTAAACATAGGTAAGTGAGAAAAAAACCAAGTAATTTCGTCAATGAAATATAGGGAGCGAAATCAATTGCGAGCACACAAAATAAAACCTGTACACTGCAGCTTCACTTACTACGTGAGTATATATGATTTCTTATGTTACGAGACTAGCGATAAAATTAAATTTTAATGTCAAGAATAGTGAAAGCAACAAAAAATTATGAGACATGAAAATGAGCCTTTTTTATTATCAGAAATTCATTTCAAGAAAATTTCGATTGAGGATACTCAGCAAATAAGATCGATAGTCAATGATTGAAGTAACTCTTACACATAAAAGTGTTCTATACAAAGCATGTGAATCATAGTAAATTTTGCAATGGTTACATTTCACTGAGAATTGTGGTGATGAAAAACAGGAATCTTAGTCTTACGAATCTAACAAAGCAGCAAATGCAAGCGCTTCTAATAGACTTGTTTTTTAATGATGTAAAAACACCTTAAGAAGCTACTTAATCTTATCGGGGCCGAGTACATATATACACGGTTTCAACATTTGACTAAGTGAAGAAATCCTTAGGAACACTGAAATTGGAGTTTTTAGTATCGGTTTATTTCAATATACATCTTACACATATGGACGATATGCTTTAGTTTAGATAGAGTAAACATATATTTGGCTTAGTGTAGTTTGTCGTCATTTATCGCATATTTGCTTTATAAAGTCAATACTGGAAAAAAACTTAAATTGCTAGATTATCCTTTGTACTTTATTCATGAAATCTTAGAAACTTATAGAGCTCCAAAAATCTATAATAGTTTGAATGTGGGTGTGGGTGTGGGCGATGGCATAGATCTCCGTAAATTCTCTCTTCACCTACACCTACATATATTCTCATCTACACTCACACCCGCAACCATTATACTTTACACTTCTGATGATGAAATTATTATGCTCTTTTATTTATGGCACATTATATTTTTTTGCCAATAGTTATTCGGCAAGCAGTTTTGAATTAATATCAATATCCCTTTGATTGTGCCTTTCTAACTTAATTATTGTTAAATGTCATCTACTTCTCAAGTGCCTTCCTTCCTGAAGGCCAATGAAGCGTATGCTGCTCAATTTAACAAGAGCGATTTGGCCTTGCCACCTGCTCGTAAGGTAGCCATTGTCACGTGCATGGATGCACGCATCGATCCAGCCAAGATTCTCGGATTGGAAATCGGAGATGTAAGTGTGTAAGATATGTAAACGCTACAATTGTCTGGCTTTCTTTGTTCACATAGGCTCATGTGATTCGAAACGCAGGAGGTTAGTTCAATTCATCCAAACTTCTCGTTTAAACTTCTCTTTAAACATAGGCCGAGCCGCTGACGCTCTTCGCTCTCTCATCATCAGTCAACAACTTCTAGGAACACGCGAAATTCT